GAAAGGGCGAGCATGTTTGGTGGGGTGGGGATTCGGACCCGCAACCCGCAGATTGCGAGTCGAGCGTCCTAACCACCTGGCCATGCCGGGCACGAGTGCTTGTAACACAGAAATGTCATAATTAATGATTGAAATAACCCGAAGTAAAGTGATTTAATGTATTTATATCGTCGAATTATTTTTGGTTTAAATGTGAAATTCGCATTAAAAATACATGTGTATGCATAGTTTCACATTTCTATATATATATTTAGATTCAGGTTGAGTAAAACGTAAAATTAGCCACAAACAAATATATAATAATATAATGTATAAATAAGTTTACCATTGTTTTTTGTACACAGTAGTGAAGTTAATAAAATTTGACTAAGTAAATACCGTAAAAATCACAAATTTAAAGTAGTGTTTTGTTGAATTTCGCGCAAAGCTACACGAGGTCTATCTGCGCTAACCGTACCTAATTTAGCAGTGTAAGACTAGAGGGAAGGCAGCTAGTCATCACCACCCACCGCCAACTCTTGGGCTACTCTTTTACCAACGAATAGTGGGATTGACCGTCACATTATAACGCCCCCACGGCTGAAAGGGCGAGCATGTTTGGTGTGACGGGGATTCGAACCCGCGACCATCAGATTGCGAGTCGATCGCCCTAACCACCTGGCTATGCTGGGGCCCTAACCACCTGGCCATGCCGGGCCGGCCTAACGTTTTGTTTGCAAACCTTGAAAAAAATTGCTGTTCTACGAGGCCGATGATTGATTAATTAATTGAAGTGTTGTTTTATATGTACCTGCCCGTAGCTTTGTAAATTTGAGGGATTATAACGCTAAAACTCGAGGTTCGGCACTAATTGTAGAGCTTTACGGTTTAAACACATAAAAATCAAGCTGTTCGTGTACTGAATCTCTGAATTATCCCAAATTCCATGTCCCTCGCGAGGACAGCGGTATGTTTACGTACTTACAACGCTAGAATCCGGGGTTCGATTCCCAGCAATTAGCCGAAATTTCTCCTAGAGGTGAAAGTGAAATTCAAAACACGAGAATTCATCTTAATATTCAAGTTTAATTCTGGCGTTTGCAAACATGAAATAACTGACATTGAAATATAGATTTGGTTCCCGTTTAACATTTGTCTTAGGATTAGAGCTGTCATGGCTGTTTAACATTTGTCTTAGGATTAGAGCTGTCATGGCTGTTTAACATTTGTCTTAGGATTAGAGCTGTCATGGCTGTTTAACATTTGTCTTAGGATTAGAGCTGTCATGGCTGTTTAACATTTGTCTTAGGATTAGAGCTGTCATGGCTGTTTAACATTTGTCTTAGGATTAGAGCTGTCATGGCTGTTTAACATTTGTCTTAGGATTACAACTGTCATGGCTGTTTAACATCTGTCTTAGGATTAGAGCTGTCATGGCTGTTTAACATTTGTCTTAGGATTAGAGCTGTCATGGCTGTTTAACATTTATAATAAAGATGTTAAAACCCAAATCTTAATTATCTCTTTGTTCGGGGCTGAGTTTCATGAATAATACAGAGAAAATTTGCTTGTTGAATTTTAGCAAAGCTACCCGAGAGCCACGTGCGCTCGCTGTCCCTAATTTAGAAGTGATAAAATAAAGGGAAGGTAGTCAACACAAACCTCCGCCAACTCTTTGGTTCATTTACCAACGAATAGTGGATTATTTCGTAACATCATAATGCCCCCACGGCTAAAAGAGCCAGCACGTTCGGGGACTAGATCCGAACCCGCAGATTCCAGTTTCAGCATCCTAAACACTAGTCCATGCCAGGCCTGAGAAAGTGTTTTCAATTAATAATTTTAATATTCCTAAACTCCTAACCCTTACATTATCTACTGCTGATAAAACAAAATATGAAAATACAAAAAACACGTAACTTTTCCATGTTCTTCCTAGTAAAGAGCCAGGTGGTTAGGGCCCCGGCATGGCCAGGTGGTTAGGGTGCTCGACTCGTAATCTGAGGGTCGCGGGTTCGAATCCCCGTCCCACTAAACATGTTCGCCCTTTCAGCCGTGGGGGCGTTATAATGTTACGGTCAATCCCACTATTCGTTGGTAAAAGAGTAGCCCGAGAGTTGGCGGTGGGTGTTGATGACCAGCTGCCTTCCCGCTAGTCTTCCACTGCTAAATTAGCGCAGATAGCCCTCGTGTAGCTTTGCGCGAAATTCAAAACAAACAAACAAACAAACCTAGTAAAGATTTTAAATGTACTTTTATCAACAAAGATAAGTTAAAAATATACAGTGTATTCACAACCGGTTAAACGAAGAATGTCCACCACTTGAAAAGAACACTGGCTACTAAAACTTTAGTTATAGCTATTCACCCTACTTTACCTTAGATAACCTTTACTCCGACCTGTTACGTTAATAATGCCGTCGTCAGTCCTTCCGGTTTGTATTCTAACATCTGAATATTTCGGTAAATACAAGGTTCTCTATAGTACAAAATATATAGAGTTAATTTTTAATATCTTTCGTCTTTAGTAGTAGAGACTGTGGAGACAGATTGGTCAGATTTTATTTCCGTTGTCCTACAATGTAGACTTTCACTAACTTATCTCTGTATATATGGGAAAGAGTTGACCTCGATTTACGAGCCCAGCAGGTAAGTTAGTGGACTGTTCCGTACGAAGGACGGGGTTTGCTGTTTGCTACGAACCTAAAGAAACAGGATTGGCAAGTAATTATTGTGCCCACTGACTTGGTTGCTTCATTCACAGCGAAGTCAGGCTTCTAGTATAGTCTTGTATGCTATTCAGACGGTATTGTTACTCTCCTCCGAGACTGGTTCAAGAGATTATAATTTTCATTTCGAGCTTAGAAAATATTGGAAAGAGAGAAATCTGGAGACATCGCTTTGTTGGTCATGTTGGTTGGGTGGTCAGTTAGATAGTCAATCATTTCAAGTGAGTTGACGCCAAAATACCTTAAAGATAAACCACAAGTCCCATCGAAACGACCAGGATGGACAGGAGAAGCTTCGTATTAATACTTGCTGCCATCATATTTCCAGGTAATAACACGTTAAACATACAAGTACAAGTACAAGCCTCCGTAGATATAGTTGTTGTCGTTGTCCTTTCCGGGTACGTTAAATACTTATAAATCTCCTATTAATATATTCACGATTCAGTAAACGTAATATTCCAGAAGAGAGTAATTTGTTTGTGTTTTTTCAAGTTGTTTGTTAGATATTTGGAAAAGAAGAAATGTAAGAATGTTTGTTTTTCTACAACTGTTTTATTTCTCAGGTGGCTTAGTATTGGTTCGAAGAAACAAAATGTTAAAAGTTATAGGAACATACTTAGAATGAAAAAGTTACCAACACTCACGAAATCAATTCAGTTTCTATAATATGTTTTTTCTTTACTTAATGCGATATTTCAAACTGAGAATTGCCAATGTCAAATGTTAATTAATTTAAATCAGGTTTCTAAAACTAAGTATCTGGGACTGAGAGAACATCCATTTAAGAAGTAGGAACAAAAGAATAATTCGTCCCTATTACATCCAAACAAAAGAATAATTCGTCCCTATTACATCCAAACAAAAGAATAATTCGTCCCTATTACATTCAAACAAAAGAATAATTCGTCCCTATTACATCCAAACAAAAAAGTGATTCGTCCCTATTACATCTAAACAAAAGAATAATTCGTCTCTATTACATCCAAACAAAAGAATAATTCGTCCCTATTACATCCAAACAAAAGAATAATTCGTCTCTATTACATACAAACAAAAGAGTAATTCGTCTCTATTACATACAAACAAAAGAATAATTCGTCTCTATTACATACAAACAAAAGAATAATTCGTCCCTATTACATCCAAACAAAAGAGTAATTCGTCTCTATTACATACAAACAAAAGAGTAATTCGTCTCTACTACATCCAAACAAAAGAGTAATTCGTCCCTATTACATCCAAACAAAAGAGTAATTCGCCCCTACTACATCCAAACAAAATAATAATTCGTCCCTATTACATCCAAACAAAAGAATATTTCGTCTCTATTACATACAAACAAAAGAGTAATTCGTCCCTACTACATCCAAACAAAAGAGTAATTCGTCCCTATTACATCCAAACAAAAAGAGACCTCCGTTGGGACAGCAATAAGTGTACGGACTTACAACACTAAAATCCGGGGTTCGATTCCTTGCGGTGGTCACACAGAACATAGGCCAATGTGGCGTTACTCTAAACAAAGGAGAATCAGTCTCTACTGCACCCATTCCCTAGTGTTATCAAATGTTTAAACGTCACTTTCCTCATTCATTACCCATCTAACTAAACTGTAAAAGACCCATTCTGTCGTCACCCATACATACTAACTACTCCACTATATAAACCTTCAAATGAGTAATTCTTGCAATGTTTTCACAGTCAAATATGATATCAGGCATCTACTACAATTCCGTGATTACAGAAGGATTTTCCTAAATACCCGAAAAGAACAAATTAAGATCGGTCCTCTAATTCTTGGGTTTCTCTTCTAAATACCCGAAAAGAACAAATTAAGATCGGTCCTATAGTTCTTCGGTTTCTCTTCTTAATACCCGAAAAGAACAAATTAAGATCGGTCCTATAGTTCTTGGGTTTCTCTTCTAAATACCCTAAAAGAACAAATTAAGATCGGTCCGCTAGTTCTTGGGTTTTCTTCCAGCTTAATATTTTCAGAAATGACTGTGGTTTCATATGTCGATTTTTTAAACATAGTTGATTAATTTATTGTAATTAACAACTTTTGGATAACTTAGAACTGACTATTAGTAATTTCTTAACTTTTGGATAACTTAGAACTGACTATTAGTAATTTCTTAACTTTTGGATAACTTAGAACTGACTATTAGTAACTTTATAACTTTTGGATAACTTAGAACTGACTATTAGTAACTTCTTAACTTTTGGATAACTTAGAACTGACTATTAGTAACTTCTTAACTTTTAGATAACTTAGAACTGAATATTAGTAACTTCTTAACTTTTGGATAACTTAGAACTGACTATTAGTAACTTCTTAACTTTTGGATAACTTAGAACTGACTATTAGTAACTTCTTAACTTTTAGATAACTTAGAACTGACTATTAGTAACTTCTTAACTTTTAGATAACTTAGAACTGACTATTAGTAACTTCTTAACTTTTGGATAACTTAGTGAATAATATAGTTGGTTCAATATATGTTGGTCTAACTAACAATATAAAAGTAACGTTATCTTCAATTAATTATCAAATTACCAACTTATCTGTATACCGTTCACAACCGGTAGGGTCCATATATTCCATCATATTGAGTTAACATATGTTTACCTCTTCCTGTTAAAGCATTCGGTGTAGAGAGTTAAGAAAAGCATTTGAAAATGGCTCAACATGACTACTAGAGATGGCGTAATCAATAAAATCATGGCCCCCACAAACAATGAGGTACATAAATAGTTTAGAAAAATAAATTCAAATAGACCCCATACGACGTCCATAACGAAACAAATGTGTAGAACTTGTTTTGGGTCACGAACTAAGATTATATCTGCCTTACTTCGGTTCATTCTCAACTACATTACGTTTTGTGTTTCCTAGTACAGGAAAGCTTGCTAGAATGTTGAAGAATTATGATATTGACCTACCTAAACTGTATTGTTAGTTCACTAGCCTTAAAAACGTATTATCTAAAACCTCGTAATTACATCTCTTTGTGTTTTAGTTTGTTCAGCAGAGCATTTCACATTTTAAAATATCTGTATGTAAAGTAGTGTTTTATATATGGGAAGTAGTGTTTTCTGTATGGGAAGTAGTGTTTTCTG